AAATGCACGATAAAAAATGATAGTAAAACTCGGAAAACTTCATAAACTCAGAGGAAAATGATTTCTTCAATTCAAAGTAATAAAAAAAAGGCGATATTTTCGAGAAGAGGAAAGTCTCTCATAACGGAATTATCATTTGTTTTTATATCTTCGAAAGGGGATTAATTGGTCCAGTTGAAAGTATTGTAATAAGTACTGAATGAAGAGGTGATGAAAATTCTTGGAATAATGGATAAAAGTGCGGGTGGTAAAACCCGGTAAAAATTCCATTGACAACTCTCAACCCCCGATGACCAAAAGTATTTCTAATTTAAATAGTTTCTTGGGGGTGTGTGCTATCGATTCACTGCTCGTTAGAGAAACAGACGGCAATCAGTTTGACCCAGTTTTTAACTGATCATCTACAAGCCTCTGGGTAGACGCCGCACAATCATGGCAGGACAATTGCCTCCGGAAATTGAAAAGTGCAGGTTAAAAAAGGAGCAGTGGAGAAAGTCAGTTAAAACGCACAGTACAGAGGTGATAGAGGGGGTCGGAGGGGGTTCAAGTGAGTCAGTGGATTTCTTATTGTTCTTCCAATTACCTCGAACCTGTAATCTCGAGATGAAATAGACTACACCGTGATGGAGAATTTTTTTTTTCCTCTTCCATTTTCATCACTTCGTGGGAAAAAAACCAGCTCTCATAGTGCTATTATCAAGTGATTTTTTTTTAGCTATTAGTAATCTTTCGATTCTCTAATTTCTCCCTGAATTATCGAGTGCGATCAGTCATCTGATCGGTCGATTTTCACCAAAATAACTATTTCTATTCTAAACGAATTTATTTATCAATTAATTTAAAAAAGACTATACGTAAACTCATATTAATTTCACCAGTGCTCCATTAATTGGAAAATAACTTGAACTAGTACAGTTTGATCGAATTGGGAATAATCTATATTCATTTAAAATCGGTGTTCATCAAATTCCGTGATTATCCCTCGTCAAAATCCCATTAAACCAACTTCCCTAAATACCGTTTTGCGAGCGAAGTCTCGTTGTCCTCTCTCCCCCTCGCCCCCCTCCTGTCATCAGGACTTTTCAAATAATTTTGACCCAAATACTGACCATCGGTGAACATCCCTCAATAATTTACAGCCACACCAGCCCCTGAAAGTCGTAAAATCTGAAATAACTCGGGATAGAGAGAGATCTTATCACCGGTTGCATTACCAGTACCCACTTCATTTGAAATGTAAGTAACTGTAACCCTCAAAGCGTACTCACCTACCGTCGGTGCGACACTTATTTTTTTCCTTTTTTTTTTTTAACCCTCGAACATATTGTCCTCGAAGACACTCCCATCCGTGGGGGGTGGGAGAATTTCTCTGTTTCACTCGTTCATCCCTCGAGTGGAATCATCCCCTTCTAGTTCATCCGACACATGCATCCGCGTACATACCAACTGCTAGTGACTTTATATAGAGCGAATGCCTTACAGCTACGGGGATGGTGCACGTTTTATTACTTTACGTGCTTGAATGAGTACCAGACGTCCGGATGGTGGCTATTGCAACTTATATTACCCTTCTCCTCGTATCAGACTGGCCTTCGCGTCTTACTGTGTCATCGTCGCGTACGACCTGGCCAACTCTGGCTTTTACGACTTCATTTTTTTTCTCTTTTACGTTGATTCGTCCTCATTGGTAATAATAGGCTAATTCTGTGTATTTTCCGTTCACCCTTTTAACACTTGAGTGAGTTGTAGGAATTTTCCAATTTTTTCAATCGATATTAATTAACCGTACATATATGGAGTAATACATAAATAATCGTAATGATGAAATAATTCTTCAGTTATTTATCATTATTTTTTAATCAAGCTCTTTTTGGTATACGTATATCACAGAGTCTGTCTGTAATTCAATATGAAATACCGGGCGGTTTAGGTGGATAATAAAAGAAAAAGTAAAAAAAAATAGAATTGGGAAATAGACAGAATTGCGTTATTTAGTTTGACGTCTCGGTGGCGGCCATTTTATGTGTCCATAACTGCGTGGCACCGGTGAAAGCCCACATAACCTACATACGCACCAACTTTATTACACCGACTGACTCAACAACCACTCGTCCCGGATGCATTATTTATTTTATGCGAGAATATGCAGTGCTATGACGAATTTATAGGCGCAAAGATTGATTGTTCAATGGATTCAGGGGTAGGGGGATCTGCATATTTCGTTGTTGCGTCGGTCATATCGGGGGCACAACACCCACGCGTTGAAATAGTTACACACGAGTGGGCCCTCAACCAAAAGATCGTAAATTCTTTCATAGAGAAATTTATTCACTTTCAGTTTGCATTTCATAGTTTTTTTTATTTCGTTGGGGTGGGTGGGAGGAGAGTGGGGGCAACTTTATTTCCATCGAATATCAAACTGCATTTGAATTTATAGGACTTTTATAAGTAGCTGATATTGATGAGAATCGTGATTATTTTTTTGATATAGAGGATAGTATATAGTCACGGCGGGCATATCAAAATAGCTCAGTTTAATAGCCAGAGAAATTTCACTTGGAAAACGGAATATGATGATTCATTCCGCCTCACACTTTTAGTAGCAATACATCATACGTACGTGTACCTAGATTTTTTTTTTTCATTAAAAAAATTGTGGTTCATTTATTTTTAACGGTTTTTTATTCTATAATTTTTTATGAATATTATATTTAAATTGCGATTGTCAATTTGGAAAAAATTTAAATGATCGTAAAGTCTGATTCGAATTTTTGATTCTGAAATGAGTGATATTCCACGCGAACCGAAAAATGTTGATTTCGGGATTAAATTGGCGGAAGTACGAGTGTGGAGTAATTTCAATCGTGGGGTAATGTGGTGGCTTTGAGCTGTGCGCTAACGAAAGCCTGGTGAATCCCCAAAAGAGGTTGAACGAGATAGATTGAGGTTGGTAGCACTGAGTCGATGAAATAGTGGGATTCAGAGCGTTGAAGGAATTCCCGTTGTGGGTGCCTGATGAGGCATTTTAAGGGCTACATTGGTATTGGTATTACTGCCCTCCCTACACATACGGAACATTTGACCTTACGAGGTGGAGAGAAATGCTTTCATAATGGTAACATAGGGGAACTATAATTCTGTCATATCCATCTACTATAAACGGGCCGAGGATTCTCCAGGGAAATCCCTATCGTAACGATAAATGCTGTCAAAATATCAAAACGGAATGGAGTGCCGGTGGGTTATCGTGATTTGTGCCTAGGACAGATAGAAAAAAATATATATTCCCTCATTCTTGAAATTTTCATCACTAACCATCACTTGGGGCGAAACAACGAGAGAAAAGCTATCGTGCCCTTTACTCCCACCAATATTATATCCGTATTATTTTTGTTTGGAAATACGAGAATTCTCATTACGCGCATGATACATTGTAGTAGAATATCCATTGTTATCGCCAATATCTCGAACAAACATCGACACGATAAGTCACGGGGCCACCTACTTCCCACTGAAAATGAATGATTCTGAGAATCCTCGTGAATCCACCCGCCACCCCCTCATCGCCCATTTTTCTCTCCACCGAAATGACTCTCGTGCTAGTCGGCGAAGCGTTTGTACAATCCCCCAGAGGCATACTGGGTTACCGGCTCTTTACCCACCTTGAATAGGGTATCGCGTGTTTTGGATAGATTACAAATGATGACGACCAAAACTGATGGGGCGAAAAAGTCACTAGTGAGTTGGTGCTTTTACGAGGTTATGTGGGAATATAACTTTACGACTGATTTCGGGAATTATTTTCACGGTTTTTGATAATGTAATCAGATCTCTTTTAAACACGACAAGATTGATCATTTCGATCACTTACCAGAGTATCACAGACTATCGATTGTGTCGGGGATATAAGACGAATTCAATTTTTTTTTTTCACGTCGGCCGGAACTAGCCCAACCGATGTAATAAAATACGGGCGACATGTAATGGACGATGTGAGGGTAGACCGAAGTGAAGATCTCTCTTCACTGATGGAAATTGACAAAAGCCTGTGTGCCCATGAAACTCGCACACATGAGGGCCATCAACCAATCACTCACAAACATTGAAATGTACTCGGTAATACGATAACTCTTCATCGCATCTATTCTGTAATAATATTTACTTTGACGTCTCTTCCGGTGTGGGTTTATTCATGGGTATCCGGTTTATTTGCAACGGTACTAGAGTATAGCTTGCTGAATGTAATATCATCTCGTAGAATTTATTCCCAGATTTCTATGCGGCGTTCGCGGGAATCGAGTTATTTGACTTTAATTTCCTCATTAATGGAGGAAACGAAAGCAATGGAGCTTCTCATAAGTAATAATTTTCCTTAAATCGCAAGAAATAATGATGACAGAGTAGTGAATGACGCGATGCTCGATAGTCCTGAAAATTTCCGGGGAACCTTCCTAAAGTCGTTCAATTCAGACTGACAATGTTTATTGACCAAGCATCTGAAGATGCATGTTAGTTCTTCCTTTTAGTAATCAAAGTTGTAATGTTCCACCCTTTCGTTGACAATCTCCTGAGACTTCTCATCTCGATGAAGTCTCGTTTGCTGATGTATGCCACTTGACAACACAAGTGCAACAACTCGTATCTTCGAGTTGATCTAATTACCCAGTTTTCAGTCATACTCCCCTTACTGAGAGAAAATAATTCTCAGTGGCAGTGAGTGCACACTCGAAAATATGCGTATGGAGGATGATTCTGATATGCACGAGGGCCGATGGAATTTTCCTTCACCTCCGGAAGTTTGTAAATTATGCCGGGAATATTTGATAATTAAATTTGTCAAGGGGATGGGATCTGCGAAAAGCTCGGCTAATTTTCGATGGTAAAAGCCAGCAGGTGAGGCTGTCTCGGGTTTCAATCGATTCTTCTAGTGTCCTATCATCCTAGTTCTAGTTTATTATTAAGTCCTGACGGTTTTTTTTCATGATTTTTTTTCTTTACAGATCCCAACTTCAAGAGTCCCATCATCAATGTCACAGTCTCAGTCGGGAGAGAAGCTGTTCTGGCATGCGTTGTTCAGGAGCTCGGAGGATATAAGGTAAGAGATCAAATATGAAATTCTTTATTCGAGAGAAAATTCGACATTCACTTGCGTATTCAGTCAGGTTAAAACGGATGTCACGTGTCGTTCAATGATTCATATTATTCATTTCATATGGTTCAGTTGAATCACTCAAAATGAATCCGCTTGGGTTGGGTGTTGTAAAAAATTCAGTGACAACCATCGGTTTTATTAGTGAATTAAATCGTCTATTTGAGTCGATAGAAAAAAATTCTCAGATCTTCATTTTAAAAAATCGTATTTCCAGTTGGTCGATGAGTTGAAATCAATGTGTAGATACATTCATCGGTTTTTCTACTCTGTACCCTGTAAATCCATTTCCGGACAGTTTTGCAATATTATAGATGGATCGAGGGTAACTCGAGTAGGAATAAAAAAAAATTGTTTGAATATAAATACAAATATCTCGAGAGTCGCGATAAAAAGGAGTAAAACGTTTGGAATACGGTTGAACCGTGATGAAAGTCTCTTAATGTCACATTGACGTCAAGTAAAAAGTGAATTATGGATTCTGCGGGTATTCCACTCAGCGGGGCCTATATATTTCGCGCCGGTATTTATGCCCCTCTGGCACGAAATATTTACTTTCGTCATTACTTTGTCATTCTGACATTTGTGGTCTTCCGAGAGAACGTGTGTTTCCGTTGTGCGGCAACAACCGATGATCGATTGGTGTTAATGTTTCAATTGGAACCTGGAATTGACGGAAAGCCAATAGATACTCGATGTCATCATGAAGATAATCACTGGCTTCAAGTTTGAAAGTAATTTCTCTTGAAATTATCGAAAATTTAAACAAAATTACTCTTCGTAAATCAATACACCATTTGTTAAAAAAAAAAATCATTGACCAGTGATTATTAGTGAAGCATCCATTTTGCCAGAATATTCATCAAAAAGATACGATAATTCGCTTGCTTGTGCGGTTTATATCAGCACAACTGAAATAATCCCACACACGCTGTTATCAGGGGGTGGGTCTGTACTAAAAAGCAGGGGACGTGGTGGGGCCCAGAGGGGTTTGGACTCTTTGAGTCAACCATGGAGTTTGCGGTTAGGTGGTTCGTTGCACGCTTCTGGCTGCAGTTTAAATTCCCATTCGGTGTGTTACGTGAAACATGCGAGAATTGTGTATACGAGGGGCAGGTAACAACGCCTCGGAAATTCAAGTGCCCCCCCCCCCTTTCCTCCCTCTTTCTCTACCATTCGCATTTCCATCTATTTTCCATATCATTCCGCGGGGGTACGCAAAATGAAGCACCGATTTATGGGGAGGAGTCGAGGTTTAAGTCGAGAATTCTCGGGGAAAAATTCAATATCACAATTCGGTCTGTCAAAATTATTTGGGGAGTAAATCATCTATTTTTTTTATAACAATTTTAGAACGATTTGGATTCTTCGGGGGGAAAATTACGTAGGAATAAAAATTTCTTTAATAACAAAAAAAAAATGTCACTAGTACATGTAGTGGAATTCTCTCAATTCGTTCCCCCTGCAATTTCATATGCACGCGACTATAACGACAGTCTACTGTAATGCAATAAAGAGCCGTCGATTCGATTGGCAAATCGAGATGACACGTTTCCCTCGGGTTTTTCGATGTTACTGTAGAGAAATGATGAAAATCTATCACCGAAGATTTTTCTAGTTTTTCGCGTTTCGCTTGGTGGGATAAAATTCAATAGAAAGGTTGAAATAGAATGAAATTTGGATACATAATATACCGGGACAACGTAGCAATGCATCGCCCAACCAATACATCAGACATCATTTTCGAAATTGAACTGTAATAAATCTATATGAAATAAACAGGGAGAAAACTCTGGCTTTTTGAGAGGGCCCTTGAAAGCCCCCGGTTCCAGTGCAATTCCTTTCATGAAATACAGGAGAATACTCTTTCATCTCGTTCAACCGAGAATTCCGATGCAGTTGGATATTTCCAAGGGGCTCCACTGAATTCAATAGTTTCGGGATTGATCGATTTTCAAGTAAAGTGTGAGTGTCTATTTTCATGGAGGAAATTCAAGGGATTTACCAGCATTAATATCCTAATTTACCGCTGTAAACTTCTCTCGGAGTTCTTCACTAAATTGACAACCACTTGAAATATTCCTCCTCGATTTATCCTTTCCATTTTTATATTTAACATTAAATTTTTTCTGATCTCAAATGCTCCACTGGGTCGATCCTCTGAAGTTGAGAGCAAACCGAGGGAAAATTATCTGCCGAGTTTTCCTTTAGTGCCGATTCAATCTAAAATGTAGATATCTCATAAGTAGCATGACCTAATAACAAGATCGTCAAACCGTCGGTACGAATGAAAGATGAACTAAAAAGGAGGATGTAAAGAGTTATACATTTTAATCCTTACATTTACTCCTTATTTTACATCTTTTCAATTGGATTCCGTGACTTTATTCAAATTCATTACTTAATTAAACTGGAGAACTGGAGAACTGGAGGAAATGAAATATGATGTGGAGGTGGGCAATAGAATCAGGTTAACCCTGAAGTTGAATCGGGGCCTTGGGTATACATTTTAAATTAATAGATTCTTGGGTTTAACAAAGAATAATGTGACCTCTCGCTGGAAAAATTGACGACTTTTTTCCAATGTGGAATTGTTGTAATTTCAATGGGAAATTTGTATTGCATTTGCTCGTCATAATTTTCTCTTTTGATTTTCAATTGGAATTCAAGCCCTGCATGACATCCAATTTGATACTTCATCACGATCACTAATGAATGGTAGTCATCAATGAATTTCTAAGTTTAGACTTGCAAATTAGTCACTATTTAGTCATAGGTCATGTATCCTGGTATTACTGGAATTGAAAATAACTATTTGAAAGTTAAGTTTGACCAGATCGGACATTTCATACGTGACTCGGGTTAATAATTCCATCTCAACATCAATTTCCAATGAAGCTAATTCCGGATCACTCTTTCTAGATGACCCACATAGCGGTGGCTCAAACTTTAAATTTAAATTCTTCACCCTCTCGATGTCTCTCATAAGCATCTGAACAACTCACTTTGCAATTTCTTATTCCAAATAAAAAACTGCAACGATTAAAATACATTCTGCCTAGTTAAGATGAAGAAATGACGAACGAAAATTTTTAGGGACGAGAAACGGGTTTCTCGTGGAAATATAAAAATTTGGGTAGAGTTGGTTATACTGAATTTTTTTTGATCGAGTTATAGTGGAGTAGGTTGATTTGGATTTTCTATTAATAATTTTTGCTCTTCTGGAGTGCTAGAGGATTAATTCTACAACATGGGATTGTTTTTTTTTTAATGCTCGGTTCAATGGGCGCGTGTAACCGTTGAAGGTACAGAATAATTGAATTTCATGAAGATAAACTCGCGAATAGTGAACTCAAGTTGTCTACTTTGGGAGTTTCAGTCAGTTTATTATAAATGGCTCGGCGTTGCTTGTATTCCTCGGTGAATATGTAACTCAATATCAGTCACTACAATGGAGTATTTTTGCGTTATTATTAGAGTGAAACGTTGGCCTCTCCGGTGCCTTAGGAGATACGAGATAATTTAATAATCATGATACTCCAAAGGGAATTGTAAGTGAATTGTTTTTTTTTTTTACGGATGAAGAAAAAGTTATTGTTTGCACCGGTGTAGAAATTTTGAAAACAAAAATTTCGGTTCATCGATATGAAAATCCACTTCGACATCAGCATATCCATTTCATATCCAATCTTTTGATGGTAAAAAAAAAAATAGATGAAAAATTCTACATTCGATATATATTTCTCGGTTACGCTTTTCCGAATCTGTCACAAGGTATCCGGGGACCAGCACAAATAAATTGATCCATTCGTTGTAGTCGTTTCAATCCTATAGGACAATATTGAAAGAGACATCGAAACCCATATTCCCCAGCACTCAGATACTCCAATTGAAGTAGAGAAATCACTGGTGGAATCGTTGGGCAGTCGCTTTTTTCTCATTCTTTACGTAAGATTTATTTATAAACTGAGGATAATCGAAGTTTTACGGCCTCGGGGGAGCGGGTAGTTTATTCATTTCTTCATGTCTTGGGGGTGGACCTGTGTATCTAGACCCCTCCCCTACATGCCTCTCACCCCTCCAGGGAAAAATCCTTGTTTATTTGAGTCAGCGAAATGTTCTTTCCGTGGATCGCAGTTTATTAAACTCCAGCTGAGCAGTTGATATTTCAAACGGAGAGTTTCGGGTGTTTATTTTCACTCTTGAAAAATTTTATTCCATTTTTCTTTGGGACTCTTGTTAAATCTCGGAATGAACAATTCTTTATTTTATAACAAAAAAAATTAGGGGAAATCGTAAATTTTGGTGTTAATTGCCCGATGAATTTTGATTGAATTCATTTTAAGTGGTTGCATTGATTGAAGATTGAAAAATATTTTTTAATACAATTTTATGAGGTGATGCAAGGTACAATTAATTATTGTCAGGAATTAAGGATGAATACCGCAACTCTCAATAATTAAACCATTCCCTCATTCCACACAGTCTTGAATTAATTACTTCGTTCCACCGCTGGGTATTTCACTGGATATTTGAATTCTTGGTGAATTCGTAACGTGTTGAGAGGAGCGACAGAGGTCACGGCTAATAACGATATACTTAGTACGCAATTAGCAACTGAGATTGCAAACGTAAGATGCACCGAATCGCCATAATAGCGGGATATTAAGGCAATTAAAGCGCAATGCTGTCAGTCTAAGGAGCATTTGTATCACGTATTCCACTGGGTTTACAGTAACGACACAATGTCGAGGAAATGAGCTAGGATTGAATTTTTATCTCAGTTTTAACCGACGATTCGGCGCATGTCGCGATAGAAAAATCGCCGGGTGATAAATCGACTTTATATTCAGGTTTAAAGTTTGGGATTGACATTACTCATTAGTCTTGCATTGATCTCCAGCAATTTTCGTAGGATAATTGAACTAGAATTGACGATTTTCACCGGTCAATTGCGTATTTGAAATTTTTAATAGCGAATTTTGATGATAATCTCTGAAGATATATTTGAAGTTAGTGCAATTTAATTTGCAACAAGTTCCGTCCATAGTATCGCATTTCTCGGGTCCAGAGATATATGCTCTCAATTTTCACTGCATGGGATTTCCCGAAATTGATTGAGGCTGAAATAGAGTTGGATAGCTGACGAATTGAAAAACTATACTTGAGAGGAAACTCCAGCAAATTGGAGGGAAATACTATCACTTGGCTTTCGAGAGGGGTCTCATGTTGCCGTATTTATACAGCTCTAACGATGTTACAAGGGGAAGTGGTACGAACGCCATTATCAATTGTGAATTACGCTTTGTGCAAATGAAGAGAGATCGGATCCCCTCTCACCATCTTCGATTCGAAAAATTAGTTAAATTTAGGATTGACTCCGGAGAAATTCTCACGATTACATCAATTTATTATTCATAATTTTTTTACACTGTCAATCTACAATTTCTAGCATTGCACCCTCTCATTAAAAAATTCGATCAACTATTTTTTTTTTTTTAGCAAAAAGCGCAGTGAAATAATGGTGAAACGAAAATTCGAATAATTCAGATTCCGCGAGAGCAAAGAGACAATATGGTTTTAAAAAATCCATTAATTTCTGATTACAGAGTAAAAAAAAAACCCGTTCTCCCATTTTTAGAAATTCTCTCTGCCACAATCTCTGTGACTCTATTTTCCGCCCTTCTCTCATCTCTATATTCTCCTGTTTACTCATTTACAATTTTTTCTCCTTTTTCACCGAGTGTTAAAGGCACAGATGAACATCAGAACTCGCAGAAATGGAACAGTCGTATACACATCCACTCGTGCAATGTTTTAATTACCTCATTTAACTCGGCTCTCTCTTGGATGTGCCCTACGTACTCTCTGAAAGTTGCCGTGTGTATGTGGTTACGATTTTTTTTTCCTCCCATTAATTAGATTTCACACCAAAGTGTGGAGATGAAAAAAAAAATAGTGGAGATAACGTGGAAAATGTAACTAGGATTTTAGATCAGGGTGAAATTTTAAATCATGCGGAGCGAGAAAAAATAATAATTTCAATTTTTTCACAATCATCCATTTGCACTTATCATTTGGTAAAATTATCTAGGATTTATCGGGGGAAAATGTTTCATTATTATTTTCGGATCAACAATTACTCTCGAGGCCGTACTTAGCTCCCATTTCATCCTTTAGTCGATAATAATAATCCGCAAAGCCGCTGAGAACCCAAAAACAATTTAAACCTTAATGAGAGAATTTTGAAAATCCGGATTACGGGTTTGTAATCGATGGGGAAATTCGGGGAAAATTCGTTGCAGCTGCAATAGCTTGTGCAATTGTCGGTAATGATTTCAAACATCTGTCAAATTAAATAGCCATTTGTGTGAAATTACATTTGACTTATGCAATTGATGATTACGGTAATTAAAAGCCGACGGATTTATGTAATAGTTTTTATTGCTTTTCGATACACAATAATTGGTATAACAAAATTGTTTCAATCGGTGAGTTGGTGGGGAGAGGGGACTCATTAAATCTGATTACGAGGGATTTTATTTAACGAAGCAATTATTTCACTTCCGATGCACCTTCCGATTTTTCATGTTTCGTCATTTTTTATTTTTTATGGGGACAATTTGGGCTATCGAAATGATGGAGTGTGAAATATTTTATTTATCGTTTTTGAAATTGAAAAAGATGATTTTATCGTGATATTTTGCACGCAATTATTGCACAGAAAAAAATCAAATGAGTAAATCGAGGTGATGCATTGAACTGAGGGATAATCCGGTGGTGCCTCTCTGGTGTCATGAGCCGTCAAGTTTTGGCCAAGTACGCACACCTCACAAACTTAACCACTTTGACTTTAAAACCATAACAACACAAGCAAAACTACGTGGCAGTGTATACGAGGATGATATTAACAATCCCTGGCACGACTTTGTTACTACTCACGTATAATGGGCCCAGAACTCAGGGTTTATTCCAACGGTTTTACGGGGGAATATGGGCCGCGGCCACTTCTCTCTACTGACGATATCTCCCTGTAACAATCCCGAGAGCCACTCGTCCTCTCTCCACTTTAGTCCTCGGCTTGAATTTTAATCGTTAAATTTTATTGGCCTAGCTGAGGTCAACTACTGCCATATAATTGCCACGATTTCGTAATACGTTGGTGTTCCCGTCCTATTACTCCAACTCCACTACTCCCTTGTTCATTTTTGCGATAACCATATTGCGGATAGAAATGTCCTGGGGTTTTGCCGTTGCCGGTGTTTTGTTATTGCGATTGGTTTTTATGGGCTGGACTATTTCGATGATTTATGCTGGACCTAAAATTTGGAGAAATAACGCGAAATTTCATTGACTGCGTGGGGAGGAAAAAATAATCGAGTGATTACGCGATTAATTGGCATCCAATTTTTCCTTTTATTTTAAATTCAAATCCAAGATTTCAATTGTGAATTTTCAATTGTACATTCGATAAAAAAATTAACTGTCAATTGGAATTTTGGAAAATTTTGAATTTAATCGCGAGGCGTTTTGATTTTCGTCATCGGAAAATAAACGGTAATTTCGTAGTCTCCAGCGGGAATTTTCCCTAAAAAAAAATATTACGTGACATCCGGGGGATCTTGATTGATTCGTTTCTATCACAAAAAAAGTGCAAAGTGTTTTGAAAACGCTTTGACGTCATTCCAAATCCATTAACTTTATTGAACACTGGGGGAATGAAAACAACGGTCTGGTAAACACGAGCCCTGGGGGGTTTAATTGACTGTTTTCATTCGGAATAACACACCATTTACATCATCTTTCGACTGACAATTGAATCAAAAGCGGAAGTGATTCTCATTCACATGTTTCGCTAGTAGTTTGTGATGTAATACCGTGAGCGTTGATGGGCCGTTAAAAACGATTTGAAAAATTCATTCTATTTTTTTTTATCAATATTTTAGGTAGATAGTACATATTTACAAATTTTTATTTTGGACCAGGAGAAGATTTATCCAGTGACCTATGGTTCTTGTGGTGTTACAGGTCGCTTGGCTACGGGTCGACACACAGACGATCCTCACTATCGCAAGTCACGTGATTACGAAGAACCACAGGATTGGGGTGACACACAGTGACCATCGTACATGGTTCCTTCACATTCGTGAGGTTAAGGAGACAGACAGGGGTTGGTACATGTGTCAGATTAATACTGATCCCATGAAGAGTCAGAATGGCTATCTCGATGTCGTTGGTGAGTGATTATAAATTTTATAAATACTTTAATCTCATAAAACCGAAATGCTCTTCCGATTTTTCCTACCGGTTCGTAATCGCGAAGCGTCAGGTTGCGTAATTTCAATTGACCTACGACATATAACGCCACGAATTACCAACAAATGTGACGAAACTCGGTGATCAAAATAAACTTCCACCATGTGATTCATGAGAATCCCAAGAAAAAAAAAATTGTAATCGGAATATTTTTTCCAAATTTTCAAAAAATTTCTAGAAAACTTTACAGAATTTTTTTTCATGGAATAATAAAAAATTGGAGAAAAAACAATTTTATTTATGGGAAAGGTTTTGAAAAATTGTTTCGCGATTTTTTTTTTGTTTCAAAAGAAAAATTTTCTGAAAAGTTTTCCAGAAATTTTTTGAAAATTTGGAAAAAATATTCCGATTACAGATTTTTTTTACCCGGGACGTTAATCTCACATTCCAAAACCGTGGAGAACCGTCCGACGTGACCCAAGATTAAACCCCAAAAAGATTATTCTTCGCTCAACCCAGAATTCTATTAATTCAAGGCATGCCCTTAATTAACTCAAAATTCCCCAGTAAATCAATGCGAAACCTATATTTAATCCGCGAGTGTCGAAATAAAAAATCGCCCCGTCCCTGAAACATCGGTTGATCTCTTCAAATAGATAATAGTCCTCACCAAACAGTTATTGTTATTCCCCTCCGGCCCATAAAATTCGATTCTAAACGACTGATTTTTTTTTTTTCAATGCGTGGGTGTGGGCGGCTGGTGGGTGGTGGGTGGTGGGTGGGTGGTTGGGTCAGCCATTTGAGATTTGACTTTTACGATGGCAGACGCTCACGTTTCCCCTTCCCAAAGGGGAAACCGAAATAAGATCGGTATTCCAGTGTGGCTGTGGTATTCAAGACACCCCCCATCCCCCATTCCCATTCGTGGCAATTTAATCCCATGAGTTTCAGTTCGGTATCCAATGCTCCCACCACTCTGGAGAACTCTATAACCTATAAATGTGGGCATGTTCAGGCGTCTGTACAGTGTATTACGTCCAGACTACTTTAGGGGGTGGTTTTTTGGTCGCTCCCTGGTGGAATCACTCGGTTTTTCGATTTTTTTTTTCTCTTCTCCCCTCTATAGGGTTTTTAGGGGATAAAAATGGATGACGTGCGCTCGTCATAAAACCAAGTTGAGAGTGTATTCCGATCTTTCAGCCAATTTTTAAGGTTCTCAATCATTTTCAAATCTGACCCCTTTACGATTTTTGTGTAGACGGTAAAAAAACGTTGGGATTAAAAATGAAAATTAAAACACAATCTCCTCCAGATGGCTCAACAGATCTCCCTTTCTTTTCGTTGTAATTAGAATGAAATTGGCATTGCAAAAAATTCCTCGCGTATTTTATTCAGAATTTTCGGTGAATTCGGTCTTCATCCCCAGAATAAACTACTTGAAGGTTGAAGATTACTTTGAAATAGCGATGTTGAATTACAGTCTAAAGCACATTGAGAGGTCTGTCAGGTTTGCTAACGTGTATATCGTATGCAGAAATTGCGGAATTTCAAACCTATCCTTGATGGGTTGGGGGAGAAGAGTCCACTTGGCTCTGTACCATCGCAATGTTCGTCTAGTGGTAGATAGAGATGGATCTATCTGCGCCTGAAGCGTTATAACCCGACGTACCGTCGCGGTTTAGTTTCGAATATCGCACAACAGTTTAACCAAACTCCACACGTGTGTTAAGTATTCCTAATTGAATGCCGGATGATGAACTGGTGAATAGAACTGGAATAAATGCTGATTTTATTGCGTTAAATGTCGAGCCACGAGTTGAAATGCAATCAGAAATGTTTGAATATATCATTATTTTTAATACTTTCAATAGACCGAGGCGTATAAAAATTGGAATAATAAATTTTCCGTTCGCGAAAAGCCACGAGAACCCCCCCCCCAAAAAAAAAACACTTTGTTTTTTTCTTAAGGGAGCTCGTTAGCAGCGAAAATGGATAGTCAACGAAATATACGAGATGCTATGAATTTTACGCCCTTAAATCCGACAACCGGCCCCGGCTCTCGTGATTACTCCGTGCAGGTGCGGTGAATCGAGTGATTCGGGGGGTGGTTACGGGGCGAAAGAGGGAGGAGGGGGTGAATTTGAAAGCGCGAAGGGGTAGGGTGTCTTTTCCGTTATTTTACCCGTCCCTCACACACCTCCGCATTGCGTACATTTTCTAAGATTAAACCCGGGTAAAAAAAAAAAATTGTAATCGAAATATTTTTTCCAACTTTTTAAAAATTCGTATCGGAATTTTTTTTTAATAATTTTCTCAAAATTTGTGCGAATATAATTTTTTCTTTTAATTATACCGTTGTTTTTTTACTTTTTTGATTTTTCAATATTCTCAAAAAAACGCCATTGAAATTATAAAAAAAAATTTTCTATTCAAATTTTTGAAAAATTTTTCAAAATCTTTCCAAAAAATAATTTTTTTTTATTTTCCGATTTTTTTTGTGTTCAACAAGAAAAAATTCCTGAAAAGTTTTCCAGACATTTTTTGAAAATTCGGAAAAAATATTCCAATGACAATTTTTTTTCTACCCGGGAACTCAATTGCCAAAATAGGTCAGATAATCTTTATTATTAATTAACCTTGTTAATGATTTTGGTATGGACTATTTAAATCCAAGCCAATCAGGACCATGGGAAATTCTCATGGAATAATTAAACTGAAATGCACAGTTCTCGTTGATTATTCATAAAATTTGTAATTTTAAACATTGGCATCTCCGAAAATTCCGGAGAAGCTGTAATACCATGAAAATTTCCATGAAATGCGCCGTAAATTTCAGCGATAAATTTTCACCGGTGACTGGGTGAATTCGATTTTCATTTTCCGGAGTATTTTACGGTAAATTTTGTCCGCCTTGCAATGGGAAATCTCCTTACTCATCCGTCACTTGTATGTTCCAAAGTCCTCTGAAGAGGACTTTTATTTCTCGGTAGAACTCCTTGAGAGATGTAACAATACAAAGTGCATCAATTGGAGGAGATAAAGTTGCCGTGAAATTTGATTTGTGTAGGGGTATTTTCGTTTTACTCGGGGGTATTTTACTTGAGTACAAATTTGTTGTCTTGGGGAGGATGTAGGATGCAGGTGAACTAGTGGTGCCATCGGAAGTGACTGGACAAGTATTGTTTCAATTTCTCGGATCCCATTGGGGTGCAATCGGTGCACATCAGGATGTCTTAATGCCTCAGAATATATTCAAGTCAACGCCAAGATAATTCCATTCAAGAAAAATTCTACAGAGATATCATTCTAATTCCATTATAATCCCACACATTTTGGAAAATTCGAGGGAAATTTTCATTTGTGAATTCGATCTTTTCCTTTCGAAAGAGATGTAATGCCCAATGGTTTTGCTGACTCCTCGACAAATAGTTCAATCCTACGGAGATGTGAAATCGTTATTTCGATCATGAAGATATCGGTTCGATCAGTCTGGCGTGTATTTCAGGAACGATCAATTGTTCGGTGGCCATTTGAGTTTTTACCAATGACACACAAATCTCGAACAATTTTTTCTTCACGTTTAATCAGACATGATTATCTCTTCTCATGTGGGGTGATGAAATTTTTATTCAAACAATACGACCCGCTAAACCTAAACTACAATGTAAACCCATAACTTGCGAGGAATGTCATTCTCGTTCTCTCGGATAACAAGATATGGCAGTCCATCGTAGGAGCAAATCGTCTCAGAGAAAAATTGTCCAGTGCACGATCCCTACGAGAGCTCGTTTTCCTCGTTATCTCGTGGTCCGTCAGATAAGTGGTATCCTTGAATTTTCCGGATGCACTCACTCCAGAAAACCTCCCCTTTTCCACTAGATAATTGGGGATGAAACTATTCCTCTACTGGGATTAAAAATCACTCGAAAAATTGCATTTAGTATTTTGAATAGAGTAAGGCCCAAAGTTTAATATTCCAAGGCTCAGGTATACATCCTTATAATTCTGGACTTGACAACTCTGATTTCTATCGTTCGTTTTAGGGGGTGAAGTTCACCCTAGCTTTTCACCGATAATTCTCGGAATTTAAATTCACTACTCCAGTTCGAGGCAGCCGAAACCATAAGAAAAATCCACTGAAAACTCTTAAATCCTCTCGATGTTCACTCTGCACTTCGTTAAAAATCCAACTTTTCCTATTCAACCACCCGCGCTCCACCCCTTCGCCCTCATCCACCCCGTCACCGGTGTACCAGACTTTCCAAGTCAATTCCACTTCAGTAAAATCTATCTATTTAGCAAATATATTGAGTTCAGATAGAATCAGACTAATAAACTTGATAAGCTGACCGATGCGGTGAAAAATAAAAACATTTTTAGTTACCCCTTGATTTTTTTTGAGGAATATTCGAAAATTCTGAATGTCATAAAATGACACGAAAATTTTCATAATTCAAAAGCGGGTCCAGTAGAAGGGATGTAATAAAGCTGTTGTCAGGGTGTAATGAACATGTGAAAATTGCAACTGTTTCCGGGTTTACATCTTCCCACCTATTCATTCAAAGTCCCAGAGAGATGTCCCTCGAAGTTGCAGCAAAGACTGAAATTCCTGGTTAAAAGGAGGCAGGACGATTTAATCAAAGCAAATTGTCATTTCCGGGGCTAATTATAACCCGAACTTTCCACCGGCTGTGAAATCTCCCCCTGAAATACTCACTCCACTCAAGACTTTAATTCTCACTTCATCCCGAGGACGCAATAATTCAACTGAGTATTGCAAGAGCTGTACCTCGCTCCATCTCCCATTAATCATTATTTTCTCATCACTGAGAGAATTATTCATTATCGCATTAGTCAGTGGATGATATTTTTTTCAATTGAGGGTATTTCGGGAGACGGATGACTGTTATGCCAATTTTATTTGAATTCTTCCCGAAAAGTGGAAAAATAAAATGATGAAGATCGGTACGGCTGATTTAG